GAAAAAAAAAAAAAAAAAAAAGAAGCAGCCCCATGGTTGGGCCACGGCCGAGATGTCTCGGCCACACCCCAGACTGGCCACGGCTGAGATGTCTCGGCTGCACCCCAGACTGGCCACGGCCGAGATTGGCCAGGGCCGAGATGTCTCAGCCACAGCAGAGATTTGCAGGCACTACCCTTCACAGGCAAACGCAAAGTCTCAGGAGTCGCCTACTCCGAAAAGTGGGGGCCTCGGGGCAGGGATGGAGGCCAAAAAAAGAAAAAGAAGAAATAAAAAAGTAAAGAAACAAGGAACTTCGAATCCACCTACGTCGGGAAGGCCGTCAGGTCACCAATGATTTGACGAATGTATCTGGCCAGGAAGTGAGGAACATGAAACAGGTTGTTTTCCTTTTTCGTTTTTTGTTGTGAGGTCCCTGTAGCGCCCTGCCAGCCAGGCAGGGCGGATTCCACGCTTCATTGAGTTCCAGACAAGTACTGTAGCATCCTGTATCGGACCGCAAACACAACATAAGGGATGTTTTTTTTTTTTTTTTTTAATCTGCTGTTCGTGGATAGACGAGGGCCCTGACTGAACTGCTACGGAAAGGCAGCCCGAGTTTCAACTGCAATTGAAACTCGGGCCCTGACTAAAGGGCGTCGTTAGACACTCCTCGAGCCGTCCTCGGAGTTCAAGGACGAATCCTCGAAAATTTTTACGTATTTTTGAGGTGTCGTTCCACCTGTCCTCGGAGAATCGCCCCGAGGACGAATCCTCGGGGCCCTCCCGCGGCCAGTTTCATGACATTATACACGACCGCGAGGGTGTTGTCCGACCTTCGATACGGGATGTCCGTGTTGGAGGCGTGGTGGTCCAGCAGGCGGACGGCGGTACTGCGTCACGGGGCGCCAAGAAAAAAATCGTCAACGCGGGAACGACCCCGTTCGAATTTCGAAATTCGAATTTGCGCCACGCGGAGCGACAGTGTGGTGGCGCACACGCGGGTCGACGAGGAGGGGGGCAGTGCACGTCGCGAAGGGTTTCGGCTGCCATGGCATTGCGCACTTAAGTGTCGCCGCACCGCCACGTCTCCAAGGTGTTCGACGCCGCACCGCGCTTCGTATGCTGCCCGTAGTTGCGCTCGTGACGCAGAGGGGCGCGGCGGTTCCGTACTTCAGCGGCAGTGGGCGGACGCTCCAATCGGTGTGGAACATCGTTAAGCACGGCTGCATTGCTCACCTGATTGCAGGCGCCTTCAATCGCGGTGGGAGAGGTACGTGCAGGTGGGTGGCGAGGAAGGTTTCTTTTCCTGTCCGAAGGGCGGAATGGAGGGCTGCGATAGCGATTATCGCGCTGTGCTGTCCAGTGCGGAGAAGACAGTTGTCGCGGCGGCTGCTGTCGCAGTTGTCCGTCGATTCCAGGTTGAGAGGGAGGCTGGGCGCATGAAAGTGACGCTTTCCAGGCAGCGGCAGAGGATTCTGCTGCAGAGGGTGTTGGACGCCCCGGACTGCGTTACCACTTCTGAGGCAGTGCTTCAGCTATGCTTTGCAATAGGGTGCGGTGTGGTTCCTCGGTCGTCGCCACGTTGGTGGATGAGGCGGAGAACCGGCGGGACTTGGGAGGATTTGCGGCTCTGCGATGACGCGACGGACGACTACTTCCAGGAAAAGCTCCGCATGTCGAGGAGAGTTTTCATTGAGATCAGCGAAGCCTGTGCACCTCTCTTGCGGCGACAGGTGACGTTCTACAGGGAGCCACTTCCGCCGGAGCAGATCGTCGCCTATTCACTGTACAGGTGGGCTACAGGAGAGTCATACGACAACAACACCTCATCTTTCGACATAGGCAGGGCTTCCGGAATTCTGGTCGTGCACGATGTGACAAACGCTTTGTTGAGGGTGTATGGGGACAGGTTATCGTGCCCGACGGGGTGCGAAAACAAGTTGTGCTGCGGGCGACAAGGGCTTTCCAAACTGCCATGGCGCAGTTGACTGCACTTACATCTACGTGGACAAACCGACGAACGCACCCGGCGAGAACTACTTCGAACGCAAGCACCGTTTCTCCGTCATTGCGCAGGTGGTGGTGGACCTGGATCTGCGCGTGCTAGACGTGTTTGTCGGATATCAGGGGAGCTGCCACGACATCAGGGTGATCCAACTGTCGAGTCTGTAGAGGCGCGCGGAACAGGGAGTGTTTTTTCGTGGGCCGCCTGTGACGCTGCCAGGGGGGGTGAGGACGAACGGTTACATCTTGGGAGACAACGGGTATCCTCCTTCTGAATGGGTAGTTGTGCCGTACGGAGGAATCAATCAGCACCCGGACGAGGAAAGGTTCGACACGAAGCAGAAGGTCGCAAGAGGGGCTGTGGAGAGGGCGTTTGGGAGGTTGAAGGGGATGTGGAGGCTCTTCCTGCGGACACACAAGACAAACCTGGAAACACTACCGGAGCAGTTCACGACAGTCTGCATTCTCCACAATATCCTCCTCAATGTCGGTGTCGAGTTCGACGAGAATTTGTTGTGGGAGGTCGACGAGAACGGGGTGAGGCGCCGAGTGGACCTGGGGATTCATTGTCCCCTGCAGCCAGTGTCGATGTTGACGTCCACCGGTCCCGCCCTCGCGCTCCGCGACGCGCTGGCGGAGCGAATGAAACACCTGTGATCCTGTGCACTGCCTGCGTCTTTCACACGTAGAACACTTGCTTCAAGTCGTGTTCTGCCGTCTTCGATTAGTTAGGAGGGTTCGCCCTCTTTCGCTTTTGCGCGCAACGAAGTAGATGGTTTTCGGTCGCGGGCGGTCTTTTTCGGAGTTCGTTCTTATGGTCGACGGTAGTGTGCTTGTCCAATTCGTCTATGGATCCCAGTGACGTGGCTCTGCGGTCGTTCGACGTCATGTCGGCAGTGGTTCGGTTGTGCACTTTGTTTGGAATTGAACGATGTCAGTGGTGGTGGGGGTGGGGGTGGGGTGGTTGACAGCTCCTCGGCGAGCTTATGAGTATGTGGTTTACAACGCTGCTTTGTTTCAAATTGAACGATGTTGTCGACTCCTGCGCTTGTTTTGATTGCTATGTGACGACTTCTTCGTGCATTCCGCTTCTTCCTTTCGTTCGGCGACCGACTTCTTTCTCAACGTCATTCAAAATGTTTGTCATTCACACACTGTGTGCAATTTTATGCAATTGCTCAGGGTCATCGGTGACGCATGAATGCGGCAATGAAGATTCATGTACACTGAGAAACGAAGCATTTCAATTTTGTTATTTTAGTAATGCGTGGTGACAGTGCATGGCCAGGTTCGTTTCTCCGTATTTCATTCCTGACGTGTCGTGGAGTGGCCTAATACACAAGGCTTTGGAGCAGATCTACGATCTCTGCTCCAATGAGAAACTAATCACAACGAAAAAAAAAAACCTAGCAGGTGGATTGCTGACACAATAAAGCTCCACCTGCCTTGTACTGTCACCGCACACTAAAACAACACGCGCACGAAGATGACGACTGTCGACGTCACGACACCACCGAACTGCGCGCTCCAACCACGACCATCGACGACAACACGTGTAGCGCGATGGAGGGGTTCTACCCATCCATCGTCATGGATTGCTGCACAGAAACGGCGACCGGCCATCTCACCTTCCACACCCCATCCCCCACCCCCACCATCATTCCCCCCCACCCGCCCCCATTCCGCCGCGGCCTTGTGGATGAACCACGTGTCACTTCTCGTCATCGCCATCGTCATCCGTCGGCGGGCCTCTGCCGATCCACCCGTGCTTTGCTGCTTCCGCTGCATTCTTGAGGGCCGCGTTGTGACCGAAAACCAACCTGCAATCGGCCCATTCGGGGATGCAATGCGGGTAATCTCCTAGCGTGAGGTGGGCCTTCCCCAAACGATCTAAGACGAGGTTGGCGGTGTCAACGATGTGCCGCCGCTAGTTGACGATGCAGGAGCCCGCCACTATGAGTGTTGGTTTGGCGACCATGGACGCGTAGAATGATGCCTCGTAGTGCGAGCGGTCGTCATCACCGCCCATCCGCATGATCCACATGCACGCGCTCAACAGAACTCGAAGACAATCTGCAAGGCGCGTCAACCTATCCTGTTTCACGCGGCCACCGTCTGCCCATTGCCCGCACCAAACTGCATTTGTCCAGCAGTCTGCCAGGCGCAGAACTGTCGCCTCCTGCCGCGCCGCCATGTCGTCGTCTTCGGGCCTATCCACAAACTTCACTCCAACAAACCACAGAGGCACGTCCATCTTCATCACCAGCGTGTGGTAGACAAGGGCAGGGGAAACGACTTTCGACCATTCTAAAGCCTGCCAGACTGCTTGCGCGACGTCTGTTGCGAAGTCCACTGTCACGTACGATTCTGCAGGAGCGAAGCTTGTCGACCTCGACGACGATTTGAAGATCCTGCCGTAGATGGCACGCAACACCACTTTCTCCACGTTGCGCACTCTGCGCAGAGCCGGTTCACATTGCGCAGGGTGGTCGATCTTGAAGCGCGGCACATCATTCGGCGACATTACCAGCATCGAAGGCGGTTCCGCTCCTGCATCCCCGTTGGCGATGGCGACGAAGTAGTCCGTGCAATCACCTACCGCCTCCCTCAATGGCTTCCCCGGTCCCTGACCCCAGAATGCGTCGCAGTCGATCCACAACTTTGACCTCTCTTCGAGATCATCCTCTTTAACCCCATTCTTCACCATCACCGAATCTGGACGGTCGTCGTCATCATCGCCCCCCCCCTGGCATCCTTCCTCCCATCATCGCGGCGGACGTCATCGACCCTCCCCTCTCCCGCACCCTCCGCGACTCCGCTCCCAGTAGTGTTATCCGCCGCCGCCGTCCGACCACCGCGCGCCGTCGTGTCGACCTTTTGCGCGGACGGTGTTTTTTCCACCCCTAAAGTCCCCGCCTGTAGCGCTGGGATTGGCTGACAAGGCGCCACATGCCCGACCTTTGGCGGAACTTGTCTCGCCACGTGCGCGTCCGTCATGACAATCCCTGCCGACTTCGGGGTTCGTGCCAACGAGACGGCGACACCACCGACCAAGCCTTGCTTCAGAGCGGCCAGCTGATCCCTCGACACCCCGTCCCGCCCAAACCCCAATCGCTTCATGACGTCCGCCCCTTGTGCATCCACCATCGACTCTTCCTCGCCGTGCAAATCCCCACTATGTTCGGAGCTGTCGTGATCAAAGCGCGACCTTTTCGACTTCGGTATGTGCCCTCTGCCTTTTTGGGTCTCCCCACCGTCGCCCGATCCGCTGTTTCTTTTCGCCTTCCCTGAAGCGCCGCGCGGTGCCATGTCGTCCACAAAGAAGTGCATGCCGAATGCAAAAAGTTGCGGCGCTTGGCTGACGTGGACGAAGGACCACGTGGACGACAGGAATGAAAGAGCGGCGGGAGGTTAATGACGGGCACCTTGCCGACGGACGACGTTGATCATGCGGCGCTTCGCTGTTGTGGACGAAGGACCAGTCCGATGGCACGCCGCTTGGCTGACGTGGATGCAGGAGGACGTGGATGCCCGCGGAGCCCAAACCCGCCGATCGTAGCGTGACAAACGGATGACTACGCCTGCGACGACGATACCATGCACAGACGGTGCCTTTGGAGCCGTCGCGATAGAATGCCAGCGGTACGGAATGCCTCCCGGAATGCCCTTTTGTACGGTGCGCGGTCTCGCAGCACACCATGGACAGGCCAGGCCGTCCACTACAGCCCGCCCCTTCATCGATTCACAACAGACAAATTTTCTCGTGGCGTGGAGGTCATCCTCCGCATGACGAACAAGGCACGCAGGCGCTCCGCGCAAGAGGTACAAGGACCCCGCCCCCCATCCGTCCTCTCCCGCCCCCAAAAAGGTCAGGCACTCCAATCCGCCATTTTCCCCTCGCGTCCCAAAAAACCCACCCTGCCGCCTACACATTCGCGGACACCCCCAAAGAAGACCCTGGAAGATCGCCATCCATGCGTGGAGACAACAACTCACAACAACGTTCTTTAAACACTATCTAAAAAAACGGAGGACCTGCTGTACAACCTCAGGACGCGGTGCGGGGAATGAAAGTAAACAACGCCTTTCACAGTCATGAATAAAACCCGCGATTATTACTAAGCGTGAGCAACGAGGACTCGCCGACTGTACACAACCTACACATCACCGTGCTGCAGCACGCAGGACGACGGAAAATGCGACGTGCCGGAAGCGCACACGGGTCATGCCTCCGGACGTTCGACATGCCTGGTCGGCCCACGTCAGGCTCGTTCGCGGATCGCTTTAGCAATCTCCATGAGGGCGTTGCACATCATGAAGTTCGCCTGGTCAGCCTTCTCGTAGTGATCCTTCTGCACTTGTATCTCTCTCTCCAGAATGTCGCATTGCCTCGTCAAAATCGAGCACTGCCTCTTGCTCGCGCTGTCCACCGTCATTGACATCAGCGCCCCGTGCTCCTTCATGACGTCCGCCATCGCCTCGAAGGTCTGCTGTCTGACATTCTTTCGTTTGCCGGCCCCGCCACCGCCACCACCGGAGAACGACGAATCCCTCGTCGATCCGCGATCGTCGCTCTGACCGCCCCCCCCTACGTCACTACCGCCGGATTCGTTTCGCCCACGAACCGTGCCAGGCAATTGAACACCTCCTAGCGCACCTGTGTCCACGAAATTCGTGGGGTGTATAGTGTGATCACCCCCGGACATCGCCTTCATCTCCGAATACACGCGCTCATCCATCCTTAAGTCGAACCCCCGCTCCCTCCTCTCCCCCGGCGTTAGTGTGAAGAAGTTAGGCTTCCCGGACTCTCCCATGAACTTGTGCACGGATTTGAACTGCTGGTACAGGTTGTCCCATTTCTTTCCGCAGTCGACGGCCTTCCTACTCGTCACCCCCATCTGCACCAGCCTCTTCTCCACGTCCTCCCACTTCCATGTCTTCGTCGTCATCCGTCCGTAGTTGTGCCCCAGGCCGGCTAGATGCGAATCCAGGTCTCTTTTGGCTCTGATAAGAGCGATTATATGCTCCACTGTCCAAAAATCCCTGCTTTTTGTTCCGTCACCTGCCGACGATTCTTAGGCCGCAGTTCTTGCCTTTCCGCCCCGTGCGCGATTTTCTAACCTTGGTTCTCGCCGTCGACCCTCCGCGCTTCCTCCCTACTGAACGAATCTCCATCTCGCCGTCGTCGTCTTCGTCGTTGTCATCACCGTCGTCGTCCGCAGCGATCTCCTCGCCCCCTCCACCAGCGCAGTCCTCAAATTCGTCTTCGGCCCCCACACTGATTCTCGCCACCCCTCTCGTTATGCTGGCCGTGTTCGTGGAATGCAATTGTTGCCGTTCATCATCCCAAAACTGACGATCGACAACCTCCGTGGTGTCGCGCTCGTCGTCGTCCCCTTCTCTGTCGATTGCACCGCCTGGCGTCGTCGTTCGGCAGCCTGCCAATCCAACTGTCTTCGTCCTCGACGCTGCCACACTTGCTGTACTCAAAGCCACCCGCCTCGGCAAAACGAATCCACGGCTAGCCGCAGGGCCAACCGCCCTCACGGAAGGCGATGTGTGTTTGGAGGCAGAAGCCGGGTTCACGACAACAGTGTGCGTCAGGCCCTCGCCACTCCTAGACCTCAGACCGAAGCTCAGACCGAAGCTCAGATCGACGAGTCCAGCGTCGTAACCAGCGGGGGTCCGGCCCTCCAGCAAATCAGTGTACGTCGGCGTCGATGCGTGTCTGTACACCTGGCTCCCCATCCAATCTTGCGTCGAGTCGCTACCCAGAGGAACCGTTGAGGATCTGGGGTCGTCGACGTCGTCGTCACTCGGAGGCAATGGAATCTCGTGGGACGGCAGGTGGCTGTACAGCGCCGGGTCGTACGGCCGCTTGCCGCCTTCCGCACTGTTGCAACGCTGACGCGAGGACCCCCCACCTCCCACCGACATCATCGTCTTGGTCTGAAGCTTATCCATCTTCGTCGACCTCTTCGGCGTTCGATGCGTCTGTTTCCTTCCAGGAACGCGACCGAGGAAATAGATGTGGATGACGACAACGATGAGCAGCAGCAGAGCGACGAGCAGCAGCAAAGGCAGCCTGCGGTATAGGTCTGCCATCAACGTCAGGTCAGTCGACACAGAACCGTTGTCGCAATCGCGGCGAGCAGAGACACACTGTGCAAGGGGGAAGACGCCAACGAACGAAATTCATGCAAGCAGCGACAGGGGGAGGACGCTTACAAAATCCGTAATTCCGACCGTTGGGAAGCCCGCGGGAACGCCACGAAGCCTCCGGGCGCCGGCCGAAGACGTCCGACGATCGCCATGGCCCCTCCATGGGGCCGCCCGAAGGATCTACAGGGCCGTCCCGCGATTCAGCGCCAATGGTAAAACGAGGAGGCCGTTGCTGGAGGTTTTCGACTACGACGGCCGAGGATGTCCGTCTTTTGGCCGCTGGACCACCACTGGACCACCTTCGGCCTCCAATTTCCGTTCTGGAGTAGCCGCCGACACCCCGTTAATCGCGGATCCTCGGGCTCCGAAGGACCTCGCGAGTTCCTTGGAGTTCGAGGACGATTTGGCTGGGAAATCCTCGGAGCCCGAGGATTTGTCCTTGGAGTGTTTTCACATTTTCATTTCCGATTTCATCTCCGAGGACAGGTGGAACGACGACGAAATCCTTGGAATCGCGTCCCCGAGGAGTGTCTAACGACGCCCAAACTGCTAAAACGGAGTTTCGAATGCAATTACAAACTGTTTTCGTGACTGCGCCGAAGTTACCCCAAAAAAAAAAAACGGGCCAAGAAAGGGATTGAGGTGAGAGAGAGAAAGATATCACGCGTCCTACTAGTGAAGGGGCTAGCTGGTAGGACAGAAATAGGGCATAGCAGCAGTAGAGATGGTGGCTTTGCTGCAGTAAGTCTTGCCGGAGTGAGGTAAAGAGGACTGATGATGGATTCTTGAGTCTTTTTCTGAATATTGTCTAACTCTGAAGTTCCAAAAAAAGAGGGCCTGAAGTAGCTCCAAAACTCTTAGTAGGTTTCTGTCTCATTTTCATGGAATCTTCTGATGACTTTTCTGAACGTTCTTGTTATGGGACGCTGGGCCCGGTTCCCAGTTTGTGCCAATTTGTGAGGATATGGTTGTATCTATGGGACGCTGGACCCGGTTTCCAGCAGGTGTTGCTCCCCACCAATAGATGGAGCTTGTGTTTTTGTCAAAAAAAAAATAAAAAAAATTGTGACCGCCTCTGGAGGTGGTCTCAAAAAGGGCCGCTGACAGAAGGGTCACCGTTTGAGGCATTTGGGTAGCGGGCCTCTCCAGTGTGACCCGAAAACTGACTCAAATTTTGGGATTTTGGGTCTTTTGGTCCTCCTGTGAGTATGCCCTTAGGGTGGCGGCCAGTCTGAGGTTTGCTGTAGCAAATTCTGTTAATTGGTACTTGCTTCCTTTTTCCTTTTCTTTCTCTCTTTTTTAAAGATGCAGTTTTTCCATTATAATAACAAACACGAGGCTGCGAATCCCTCGCCATTTCAACCCGTAGGGGGCTGGGGCCATTACCTAGATTTGGCTATTGCTGGAAACCGGGTCCAGCGTCCCAAGTCTGCAACTTTCTAGGAAAAAGGGGAAACAACTGGACTGAGGGCACACTCACACTAGGTACCAAATCCCCATTTCCCCAAAAAAAGAGGGTTCCCGGACAGTCACACAAGGTGAACATCTGCCCAAATTCTCAAAAGGGGTGACCAGTTGTCAGCGGCCTGCGAAGCCACGGGGTAAGGAAATTTGCGGTGACCTCTGGAGGTTACCGCAAATTCTCAATCTTTTTCCGAATTACCATGCAAAATTGGAGAAAAAATGGAACCCCACGATATTAGCGGCCTATCAATTGACGAAAAGGAGATTTGGGGAAATGGGCGCACACGCGGAGTGGTCAGACGCGCGTGGCCCTTTTTTTGTTTCAATCCCTTGTTGATCCAGTTGTCGTTAGCCTGCCATGCCGCTTTCGTCGTTATTTTCGTGTTGAAGAACTGGGCGTTACATTTCCGTGTCCGCCTCCAGCCCCTTGCGCGCATGTTTTCACATGCCTTGCGCCCGTGTTCCGCTGGCTTCCCCGCTTCTCCGCCCTCTTCCCCCCAGTTCCGCCCGCTGTATCTTGCTGTGTCCCCTTGTCCCGAACGGACGACGAACGATCTATTCCTTTCACTGTATTCCGATTTCTGCCCCTGGCCCATGTGTTTCGTTCGCGTTGCTTCACTGCAAGCCCGATGAATGTATGTGGATCGGAAGTGGCTTCAGATGAACTGTAGTTGTCTGTGTGCCGTCCACAACCCCAAAGCCCCATAGCCCGGTGGCTGTACCTGGTCCCAAACCAGGTGCACGAAGGGTAGTCAAAGCTGTCTCGAGAGAAAAAAATAAATTGTAAAGAATCTGGGTCGAACACGGGTAGAGATGCATGAAAAAAAAAAATCAAATAAAATCCTGTTATCGATTCGGCTGTGCACTTCATGTATATGCCTGAAAAAAAGGTTCAGATGCATTCAAATTGTATGTGTCCCGTTGTGCATTTTTTTTCGCACTAGGTGAAGCTGGTCTGCTTTTTGTTTGGAGACCCAAGGGATTCCTCCCTGCTCCAGCTGCAGGGATTGTCGCCATTGCCGTGACATGGCGACAACTACTAGCGTTTCATAGCGCCGCTGTTGTCACTGCACACCGCACAAGCTCTGCCATGGCGTTCACAACACTAACGGATGCTCCAACACCAGATGCCACACTTTCCCTTGCACCGTACCAGGAGGCTGCCCTATGCAGCTGAAGCGTCAGTCCAGTTTAGCTCGGCACTGAACCAGTCGCTCGCTATAGAAGGCCGGTCCCTGAATTTACCCTGGGGCGCTCCAGCGGGCGGCATCGGGGCGCACTCCACACAGCAACAGCAGAGAGGTTCGTATGGACACCCGTTGGTGCGAACGGCCAGCAGTAACGACCCAAAAAAAAAAGAAGGAGAAAACAGATTACAAAAAACGAATAATTTGCATTTCCCATTTGAGGTATCCACCGTGTGGCCGGCGCCCTCCCCAAGCACCTCGCAGAGTACGATGTAGCGACCTTGTCGTTAGCGTGTTGGGAACACAGTGTGACCGGCCAGGGCCGCATTTCCTCAAAACGGCCGTTCCCATTTTCCCATTTTTGCGAATTTGGGTACCTAGTGTGAGCGTGCCCTGAGAAAGAACTGAGAACTGAAGAAAACCAGAGCTCAAGGAGAAAAACCACAACCAACCGCTCTTTCCCTATGGGAGTCCAAGTGTACTCCAACTAGCTGGGAGCCTTACCCAGTTTCGCTTCAGAGTTTTAAAAATCAGTGAACACTATAATCTCAAAGCTTATTTGGCCTTCATAATACTGCCTGTATTATGCTAATGCTGGAAAGCGGGTCCAGCGTCCCATTGCGGACCAAAATAATCCCTTGTCCACCGGGGGTTCGTCAGGGTTGTCTCAGCCATCTAGAGAACGCTAGTTTTCCATCTGATGTAACCAGCGCTAACTTGTTATCTTTGGCCCAGGTCCTCCGGAATCTGAGTTGATTTCCGTATGACTGCTTTCCTGAACACCACCAGTCAGCTACAATAGATAGCCTTATGTTGGCCTAGATTCGGGAAACAATTCGGGGAAGAGGGACCTCTGTCTTCTTGAAGACTCTGGAGTTGCGGGCAGACCAGATACCTTCCAGAACTATACCCCTGCATACCAGGGCTATGTATCCCAGATTTACAAAGAAGTGGCTGGCGGGAGGAATCCCTGTTAGAATCCAGCAGTCGGACCATTCAAACTGGTTCATGAAGAGAAGCTTCCGTTGCTCCTTCCACCATTCCCAAACCTGAGTCGACAGGGGGCAGTCCAACCAGAGGTGGGATGACAACTCCCAACCCCAGTTACATCTCGAGCAGGTAGCGTCGACCGCCATACCTTCAGCTATCAGCCATGAAGTCGTGGGCATAACTTGGAGAGATTGTAACCACATTATGGTACTCGGTTTTTGTGAGGGCAGTTTTTTAATAGCTTTCCATACTTTTAATAGGTCTGCACCATGGACTTGCGTCCTGTTTTCCTTTTGCTTCCTTTATTTGTCAATCTGATCCTTTCTTTTGCCACATTTGCATTTAATACAGGGACGCTGGACCCGGATTCCAGCACAAGGCGATACTGGGTAAGGGCCCCAGTCTTCCGGGGGGTAAGTCCCACTAGCAGCGTTGAGTTTCCCCAACGCCTGAATCTGGACGTGATTGAGGAAATGTGCAGAAATGGCATTGATTATCCTCAGCCGCACATCTCCGCAAATACGTCCAGATTCAGGCGTTGAGGAAACTCAACGCTGCTAGTGGGACTTGGCCCAGGGTTGAGATGTGGAGGGATTCCCGGCATCCTTTTGCAATAGGACACATGAAACGAATGCAAACGGTTACGGGAACCAAAAAAAAAAAAAAAAAAAAGAGCACAGCGGGGTATACGTGTGACGCTCAACCTCACGCCCTGTGGTGTCTTCCGTTCGGAGTGTTTAAAATTGCGGAAGGGGGCCCAGAAAGGCAGCAAGATGGGGTGTGCCAAGGATTTTTGGAAAGTTGAGTGCGGGGACACGGACAGAACCGAAATCCCCTGTGCCGGTCCGACTTAGTAAGCAGAGGGCCCGTCACTGCGTGGGTTTTCAGGGAGAAAAAGGCGCGCGCGGGACGCACGGTGCGGCGAAATTCAATCCAAAAAGTATCACTGAACTTCCCATTGAGCCGTCGCTTTTCGTTTCGCGTGGAAGGGGGCGGGCACATACTAGGTATCCCATTTCCGGGTCAAGTCCCGATGCCGCTCATCACACAACTCTGAATTTGACGTGGCAGGCCTTAACGGAGTGGCCCTTATGCTCATCTTCCTCTCGTACCCGGTAGTGAAAGCCCTTCGATTGGTAACGCTCGAAGCGGCGACAATCGCTGCACAGAGTATTAGGCCAATGGGGCGCTACTGCCAACCACGGGATGACAATTAGCTCATTAAACGGCAACAGCAACGAATAAGGCGGAAAATGTGTGTCCACAATGACAAAACCAGCATCGACAAATCCAGAACATCGAGTTTCAGGAGGGAAGTAGTATCTTCCGCCGATCTTGGCGATGGCTTCTCGTACGTCCCACTCGCATACACGTGCCCTCTTCTTGTTATACGGGAAGGGGCGTGGCGGGGATGCGGGAGGCCGGCGCCCAAT